ATGTTTAATGTAAATGTTTCAAATTACAAAACCTGTAAACATAAAATTGATAAAGTACAAATGAAAATATAGTCTTTTTAAACTTTTGCAACCAGAAGCTGCGATCTTCATATTAGTGACAAACAATAACAGTAACAACTGCTCTTTTGACAAGTTTAAAGTTTCTTTAAAATACATTCAAAATGTTTAAAAATAAACTACAACAATTAATTTAAAGTACAAAGGAAAATATAGTCTTTTTAAACTTTTGCAACCAGAAGCTGCTCTTTTGACAAGTTTAAAGTTTCTTTAAAATACATTCAAAATGTTTAAAAATAAACTACAAAAAATAATTTAAAGTACAAAGGAAAATATAGTCTTTTTAAACTTTTGCAACCAGAAGCTGCTCTTCATATTAGTGACAAACAATAACAGTAACAACAGCTTTTTGACAAGTTTAAAGTTTCTTTAAAATACATTCAAAATGTTTAAAAATAAACTACAAAAAATAATTTAAAGTGCAAATTAAAATATTATTGTATCTGCAACTGTATTTGATAATGTTTAGAACTTTTAAAATATTACATGGTAAAAACAGAAGCTGCTCCTCATATTAGTGACAAACTTTGGTGTTTTTTGATGAGTTACTTTCATTTTTGCGTCTACATTTAATTTAAAATAAGTTTCCATTCTCAGCAGGTTTCTAAGGTTCTTCTTCTACATATTAAAAAGTTGTTAAACATCTGAGTGGTGCACTACTGCTACTAGTGGTGAGAAAGTGTATTGCACCTTATTCAAAATCAGTCCGGTGGCCCTCTGCMGCCCAAAGTTATAAACTGTTGTTCTTCTGAGGCCRTCAAGGTGGCGCTCTGGGCCGCGGCCCATGGGTTAAGAATCTCTGGTTTAGACAGAGATTAATCTAAAATAACCAACAAAGCCCTTAAAAGTTTAGTTTTTTATAGGTCATTATTGGATCAGACTGAGCAGTGATTTGTACTAATCGTCCTTTCCCAGTGCGTACCAGGTGGTGGTGGTGGAGGAYGATGGGTCCCGACAGGTGAGGAGGAGGGAGCTGGGCACCGTGGACTGTTTCCCTTCTCCAAACTCCCACAACGAGGCCCAGCTCAAAGGCTCCCCTCATTACTACACAGCTGAGCTGGCTCCCAGCAGTCTGCCGGAGGCCACGCCCTTCACCGTGGGCGACAATCACACCTACAACGGCTACTGGAACAGTCCTTTAGACCCCACCAAGAACTACCTGGTCTACTTCCAAGCCACCAGCAACTTCAGAGGGGTAGGAACCATTAACTTTGATCCTGCAGCTTCGGCACAACTTTACCTACAGTCTCACAACCCAGATTTCCAGTTTAGATTCATACTCAGGTTGGGTAGCATTAGTCAGTTCCTGTTCATTTGGTGTTTTTTATTGGTTTCAATCCTGACTGTTAATAGCTGTGTTTCCATTGACCATGAAAATGCGCAAATTAGAATTTCGAAAATAAATTTTCTCAATGGAAACACGTCAATTTCGAAATAAATTGTGTTTTTCGACAAAATGTTTTTGCGCTAGGATGAGGTGGTTTTTCAGTCGTATCGAAATTTGTGTTTTTCGCAAAACTGCAATGGAAACACTTTATTACATCACAGGAGTCACGTGATCAACAACCGMCTGTTTCTACTGGTGAAAAAGACGATGATGAAGAAGATAACAGGAAGTAGAAGTAGTAGTAATATAACAGGAAGTAGAAGTAGTAGTAATATCACAGAAGTAGTATAAAATAGTAAACTCACCGACTACAATTTCCCAAAAACACAGCATACGTAGCCGCTCCCAAGTAGGGACTTGTCTCTGGAAAGCCTCGATAAAAGACGCCGACGCATCAAAACAACCTGAGAATATCTACACACACATACATTTAAACTCTTTATGAGCTGATATTGAC